AACCTTACACGGTTGCCTGAAGGAGATCATTGTGTATTGCTAGGAAGATCAGAGATGCCTTCCCAGCAAGCCAAGTGTGTAAGGGGATGGCATGAGCAAAAGTTCAGAGAAACGAAATCGTTCCCGGCTCACAGTTAACTTGGATCAAGTTGTATTGGTTTGAGAGGAGAGCACAAATCCTTCCCTTTTCCTGACCGTCTGCGCAGTTTCTACTCTGTTTTGCTCCTCTTTCACAGCCAGACTCTCAAAAAAGCTCTCTGTCCCTGTTGCCTCCATTTTACATCCTTCACTTTTCTATACAGCCTCCATCCCTATTTTTCCATTGAAGTTACTCCCTCGGTTCCAAAACCAGAAGCCTTTTCTTCCATCCTTATTCTTGACCTGTCTACAGCACTTAACTCTGTGGACCCATCCTCTTGATTTTTGTTGTACTGCTCTGTCCTGGGTCTCCTGGTACTTTGTCTAGCTACTCGGTCTTTTTTATTACATTGTCATCATGCAAGTCTTGCTCTATGTGTGGGTGTACTGGGGCTTTCCTCTCTTTAGCAGGAGTTTTTAACCTGGGGTTCATGAATTTTTCTTTTTAAAAAAATATTTTTCTAATTGCATTTTAGTATAATTGGTTTTCTTTGTAATCCTATATTTTTATGCATTTTATGCATTTTAAAACATTCCGAGAAGGGGTCCATAGGTCTCTCCAAATGCCCCAAAAGGGTCTGGGTCCAGGACACAAAAAAAGCTAAGAGCCATAGTATCTCTTCATGATCTTATCGGCTGCCTTGTATTGGCCTGTCACCTCTAGGCTGGTGACTCCCAGATCTACTTGGGGCATCTTTTCCCTCCTGAGCACCAGTCCCACGCACATCACTAGCTCCCTCCAGGGCATCTCTACCTCATCATGCCTAAAGCAGAATCCATCATCTTTGTCCTTAAGTCCAGGCCTCCTAACTTCCTTATTTCTGTCATTCTTTTAGTCACTCAAGTTCACAATCTAGGAGTCCCCTCGAACGCTCGCTGTCATTTCCCATGCCGCTTACTTGTGAGGTCCTGATGATTCTGCCTTCCTCCCTATACGCTCATGCCATAATCATGCATAATTCAGGCCTTTTTCTTTTCTGGCTTTTTTGCATTTGTCTCCTACTTGGCCTGCCTACCTCTGGTTTTTTTCCCTCTTTAGTCCATCCTGTATATAGCAGTACAGTTGTAGGTTCTGAAGCATGCCCTCCTCTCTGCTTGAAGAGTTTCGGTGGCTCCTCTTGCTTCTAGAATCAAATACAGACTTCTCATTTTGGCATTTAAAGCCCTTCATAACCTGCTGCCGGCCTTATTACATAGCTTCCCCCTCACATGCTCTCTATTCCAGCCAAACTGGTCAGCTTGCTACTCTGCATCCTGGATATTGCATCTCCCACCTCAAAGCGTTTGAACAAATTATTCCTTATGCTTGAAATGCGCTCCTTCCACACTCCTGTCTCTTGGGAAACCCTGCCTCTCTTCAGTGCTCTTCTCAAGTGCCACCTCCTGCAAGAAATTTTCCTGATTTTCCCATTACTGGTGCACTCTGCCACCAAGTGATTTTGTATTTCTTTTTGCATATATTTCATATTTACTGATTTTCTACATATGTTATATTCTTCCAGTAGACTCTAAGCTTCTGGAGAGCTCCTGAGAGCAAAGGCCCGCTTTCATTTTTATCTTTGGTCTCCCTAGTACACATAGCACAAGGCCTGGCCTATATAATAGGTACTTTTAATTAAGTGATGGATAAATGGAGTGGAAGCCTAACTGGGAAGAGGGATCTACATCAGGAAGACCCGATTTCATATCCCCCTCCCCCCAGACACTTACTAGTGTATGATCCTGGGCAAGTTACTTAACTTCTGTCTGCCTCAGTTTTCTTATCTGTCAGATGGGGCTGATATATCTCCCAGGGTTATTGTGAGGATAAACTGTGATAATATTTTTAAAGTGCTTTGCAAACTTCAAAGAGCTATAGAAATACTAGCTGTTACTAGTAGTGGTGGTAGAAAGAACATTGAATGAGGAGTTGGGAGACCTGGATTCTTGTCCTGGTTCTGCCGTTAGTTGTAGTACTTCAAACATGTCACTATTGTTCCTAGATCTCCATTTCTTCATAAAATAATGGGTCAGACTATGAGAGTGGACCCCAAGTTAAAAACCTAGGGTCCCACTGACAGATTCCAGGGGGTTTATAAACTTGGATAGAGGAAAATGTTACATCTTTTCTTCAGTATAATTATTTATCTTTGCTAGCCTATATTTTTTATTTTATGCATTTAAAAACATTCTGAGAAGGGGTCCATTAACTTCACCAGGTTCCCAAAGGAGTTCATGAAAAAAAGGTTAAGCCCTGAACTAGATGGTCTCTTAAGGGATTTTTTAAAAAGCATTATTGGTTACTCTCATATCATTCTTTGCATGTGACTGGCATCAGCACATTTAGCTACCATATCACAGAAGCAACTTTCAGAATCTGAAGCAATGCATTAAAAACTTAACACACTCTTCTTTCATCCTATCCCTGGTACATGTAAGCATATTTACTCAGCCCAACCTGTCCTTAAATAAACAACAAGCTTCTTGTGAACTTAACAATCGTGAACAAACATAAACATTTCACTATACAAAAGACTAAAAATGGGATTATATGTGAAACTGCAAATTTCTGCTAACATTGTTTTTAATATATGTTAAACACAGTAATAATAAAACTGCCCTATTTCTGCCCTTCTAAACAACCTTTTCTTCTGTGTTTTTTAATGTTTTCTTGATGTTTCTTTTTTTTCCATCTTTATCACTACCTTCTAAATGAAGTAAGTATAAGCGAGCAAGGTAATGAACAAATCTGCCACATCTGGAAATGTGTCTCATTCCCTGAAGACCATCATAAAAGAAATACAAAGCCTGGATGTTACTTATTCAAGAAATCAAAAATGAAGACTGCCCACATCTGTTAGCACCAGGGGGCAAACTGAAAACAAAAATAACCACTTGATCACCTCTTGAAAGAAATCCTTAAAGGAAGAGCCCCAAGAACACCATAGCCCAAATCCAGAGCTCCTACATCCGAGGTAAACCTCCACACCCTCCCCCCCAAAAAAATCCCGAAATAAGCAGTTCAAAAACCAAGGAGCCAAGGTTGGGTTCACACAACACCTGGCACCTTACACTAAAAATCAAAGGTCTTGGGATACAGTATTCTAAAAGGCAAAAAGTATATGGGCTTATAATCAAGAATAACAATCTTAGAAATCTTTGTATCATCCTCCTGGTGAAACAAATTGACTTTTTAATGGAGTGGAGGACTTTCAAGCATTTATAATGAAAATGCCAGAGCTGAGTAGAGCCATTGAAATGCAAACACACTAGTAGAGAAACCTAGGAGAGTAAATTTATTGGAGCAATTGGAAGGGGCTGAATGATAAAGCAATACTAACATTCTAATAGGGGAAAAGACATGTCCATCCAGAGCTTTAATGTTTTCAAAGGGTACTGAGGTAGTTAAATAAGAAAAACTGGACTTGGGGGGCGGATTTTTGTGGAGGGGAATGAGAAAAGGGAAGGTAGAAGAAATATGCTGATGGGGTAAAGAGGAAAACGGGAGTGAACTTGCTATTTCTCATAATTGGGGGCTGTGAGAAGAATGTAACAACATGGAGAAAAGGGTAAAGGGAATGGGCATCAAATAAACCTCATTCAACTGGAGTGGACAAAAGAACAGTTTGTTGTAGAAAGATGTGAAACTCAACAGGGAAACAAACAGGGATCAAAGGAAAGGAGTGTTAAAAGGGACTAGGGAGAGAATAGAAGCAAAACAAATTTCCTGAACCTGAAGTGAGGGAAGAAGGGGAGGGTTAAAAAGGAAAAAAATACAATCAAAAAACTGGAATCTAACAGGTTTTCCATCCATTGGGAAATGCCTGCACAAATTGTGTTATGTAATTATAATAGAATACTATTGCATCATAATTATGAAAGCCATTTTCAGAGAATTCTAGGTAGTAAGAATTGATGAAAAGTAAAGAATAACTCATATGAGGTTACATTATTTTTAAAAAAGAGACACAAAACTTGAAAAGCTTAAGAACTGTGATCAGTGACCATATTTCCAAGGGGCTTATGGATGAAGCATGCTACCCCCATCCTGAGAGATAGGACTCAAGGTGCAGAAAAAGAAGCAGAGTGTGAATTAGTTTTGCTCAACTGCTTATTTGTTAGAAGGAATTTTTCTTTCATGTTTATTAAGGGGAGGTGAGGTAAGCAATAATGGTTTTTAAAAAGGACTACTGAATTTTTTCCCCCCCACATACAGAGGCAAACCCAAGGAAGCACAGGGGCAAGCAACAATTTTGAAAGTAACTTGTGAAATGTAAATATACCTGTTTTTGGAAAGCGTGCCATGATATGTATGTGAGAAACGGGGTTCAGTCACTCCTTGGTAGGGCTAGGGGTTAGCCCGGGCTTGCAGCTGCAACCCACTGCTCCCCTGAAAACATACCATGCGGAGTTCTGTCCTCCCTTAAGAAACAAAACTTAAACTGAAGTGAGCAAAGGGACATTTATTTACGGTTCTTGCAAGAAGCGGTGTGTGGTACCCCCAAAAAAGAAACAAACACTGACAGATGCCAGAGCAAGCCTTTTATGCAGTTCGTTCCTTCTTGTTCCTCCCTTCAGAGCCTGGATTGGTCCCTACTCTTTCGGATTACAATCTTCCTGATACTCCCACTTCATAACATGTCCCTCCTCCTGCTAACATGAAACATGCCTAGTTCTGTGCTATTGCTCCCCTCTTGGGGAGAAGTTACTATTAATGAGTCCATTACGCGTGCTCACGCCAAGTAAAGCTTAACCTTTGTCCTACTTCCAGCCTCTTTGACCAAACAACCAATTTCATCCACTTTTAGCCAGTTCTAGAACCCCTGACCTAGAGCTACCTTTTTCCCTCAGTTTCCTTGCATGGAAATATAATCACTTCTTACCTCTCACATGTAGGTTTGCTGTTTCATATACAGTCCTCTTTGTGTATCCTGTTGTGTATGTGGAAATATGCTTTTTTTGGTTTGTTTAATTTCCAATTAAAAAAAGAATTTATGTCTGTGACCCTCATTGCATCTCCTTTGCCAAGTGGTACCGGATGTGCTTCATCATTATTAGTCATGATGATTAGAAGAATCATGATTGGTCATAGAGTTCCATAGCTTTTTTAAGTTCCCTTACATTGTTATGGTCATACAGTAAATTATTTTCATGATTCTTTTAATTTCACTCCTTTCAAACAAATCTTAGTTTTTTCTGAATCAATCATTCATAAATTCTTAAAACACAATAATATTCTTTTATTTTCATATGCCACAATTTTTTCAGCAGTTGCCCAATCCGTGAACACCCATTTTGTTTCCTGTTTTTTTGCCACTACAAAAAGTGCTACTATAACTATTTTTGCACATGAGTCTCTCTCACTTGTTCTTCAAAATCAAAGGAGCTCACATGTAAACACTTTGCAAACCTCAAAGTGCTATATAAATGCTAGCTTTAATTACCTATTATTTGACTTTATTGAAGTATATACCCTCTCGTACCAGTATTAGACAAATATCCCAAAGAGGGCAATCCTTTCTTTCAACCTTCCCAGATGACTCCAAGCACTCATCTGATGCAACAACTGACAATATCAGGGACAGCTATACTATCTTTCATGGGTATTGGAGTGAAGAGATTAACTCATCTACTTTTACTGACCATCTCACGTACATCCCTTGCTTTGCTGAGCCTTCTATATCTCTAGACTATAACTAAATCTTCCAGTTTTTTCTTTCCAAGTTTCCTGTTAGTCTCAGTCTGTAACTATATTTCATAGCTCCCTGGAAACTTAGAACTCTGTTATCTTCTGATGACGTAGAATTTTGAATGTTCAAAGTATACAGGAAGACAAACTGAATTTTTCCCTTCACCTATTTCCTTCTGCCCCCTTCAAAAAAAAATTAATATCTAAAATCTCATCACATGCAGACTAGAAGTGAGAATGTATAGATGTGCTACCCAGCTAAAAGTGAAACCACTAACAAACTTGTGCACATTTGATTGTCATGGGACAATTTCAAATAAAATATTTGATAGAATGTGTGCAAACATTCAATAAAACATTTTTTGGATACCTCTTAAGTACCTATTTTACTAGATATTGAATTGGGGAATAGGCATTTATAAGTAAAAGAGTCTCTTACAGAGAGTTCCAAGAATGCTTTCTTTGTTTTGGGGGGAAAAAAGAAGGGAAGGAGTTAAATTATAATAAGTGGAAGGTCATAAATACCCACTTGAGTTCAAATGTCAGCAATCTGCCAACAAAAATGGGCAGGAAATGAGAGTTTCCTAGGCTACCAAAAAATGTAATAGTTAAAATTAAGGTAGACTGAGGCATGAAGTTCCAAGCACAATTTATTAGTAAAGCACAAATTTACTAATAAATAGGATCTCAGCTTCCCGAGAAGCTAAGACCTCAAACGAGGGAGACAACTCTCTTTTGTAGTTTTGGGGAGCACATAAAATAGGAAGCCTAGCATGATAGATGGCCAAAAATATGATTGGATGGAAGTTTGGGAATGAAGGCTAGCAACAACCCCCACTCCTTCCCTCTTGTGACTAAGAAATGTTCCTTGTTCGAGTCTTTGCATCTGTAAGAACAAAGATAGCAAACCAGACATCCTTGAAGGATAGCTTGGTGGTATAAAGACACTAAACCAGACTCCCTACACCTGCTTTCTTTAAGCGTAGCAGATTTCCTTGACACAAAAATAGAACAGTGATTAACAAGAGAACTGATTTCTGAACTAATTTCAGAGACAAAGAACCATGAGTTACACAGTTACAGGACAAAATCAATTAAGTGTAAGTGGGAACAATTTTTAAAAAAAAAGACAGGATCAATCTGATTATTTCATTTCCCCCCTTTGATCAGTGGGAGACATGTATGTTTCTCATAGATCACTTGCCTATAGACTAATTCTATTTGATTTTTTTTAACATGGAAGTTTTTCTGGTGCAAGTTCAGAACAGGCATTAACACAGCAATTAGTGCAGGATCTAAATAGGATTATAAGGTAGAGGGCAGTAAGTGCCCATTTACCAAGGGTGGCTAACAGACCATTTCCCTGCAGCCAAGTGAACCAAGAGGAGAGATTCCACCAGGGGTCACCTGAGGGAGGTAGTTGTGTTTCTGCTATAGCTTGTTGCATCTTATGTAGGCTTGTCACAATTTCTCCTGACCAGTTAATGTAAGAACAACAAGATTGATCAATCATGGCACAAGCCATAGTAAAACTATCTAAAACCATGGACTGATTTTAGTGGGGAGATTTACATGTCCCCAAGGTAATCAAGGAAACTCAACAAACGGATATAGTGAAAGAAAAAGCCAAAGTAGTACAGTAATGATCTTCAGTATTAACTAACATCAAGTTGCCTTGTTGCTGAGTAAACCACTCCCAATGTCCTTTTAATCAACACATTTCATCTTGGATCCCAGATATCCTATGTAGTCATGTGGTGTCCGGAAACATCTTCTCTTTGGACATTCTGGAATAGGTCTCATTCTCAGGGCAGCTCTGAAGGGGATTCCTCTTCAGTAGATTTGTTTCTCTGGTTCCAAGTTACTTGCAAAGATTACTAGGTAATTCGGCTAACATCTGCCAGTTACAAGATTCAGTATAATTTAGTACAGCCCCTTAAATTTTGCTTTTCCAGGACCCATTCATGTGAAAACCAGATCAAACCTTATGGTTCTAATCCTATTAATATGCTTATAAGAAGAACAAATTAGGAATCCAGAGTTCACTTGAAACTCCAGAGAATTTAAGTTTTTACATGCCACCTGCAGTTTCTTTGTCTAAATCCTGTACCTGATATAGACACAGCCAACAACAGGCTGAAGGAAGAATCTCAAAAAGAGAATTTGACTTCCAAAATGAGCCCTTTTGGTTAAAGATTTAATATGTACCGAAGTAGACATGTAACCTAAGATTTAGAATACTTTTCTAAATTGGTTTGACTCCATTAGCATTTGACTTTTAAAGACTGGCATTCATTTATTTGATTTTTTATTTTCGATTTGAACCTCATAAAGGGAAAAACTTCAGTTTTATAACTGCCCTGTGATGTAAGTTAGCAAATTGTTGTGTAGATATATTTAAGAAATTAATATAACTGAAAAATCAGAAGCTACATTTTAAAGTACCACAGAAGGCAGAACTCTAAAAACCCTTTAAAATGACATATATAATCATCTGATCCTATTGCTTTCTCAACATTTTCTACTCCAGCTAATTCCACTGCTGCCAATTCCTCCCTCAGGAGGACCAGTTGCTGTTAAGGATCTAATCCTCCATATGAATCCATAGCTAACCAGCACTTTTTGTAATTAGATGACTTCATTCCTACATTCAACGGCTACACAAATGAATTTATTTTAAAGATGCTAAGGTTTTGTTGTTCAGTCATTTTTCAGTCATGTCAGACTCTGTGACCCTATTTGGGTCAAGAGGGTCCTACCTTAGTCTCACCAAAGTCGCATTTAGTTTCCCCGTGCTTTCCCCCCCCAAAAAAAATTCTAAGAATAGATGTTCACCAGTAGCAGTTCACAGATCTCATTCCCATTGAGCTGCTGGCATTCTTCTTGAACCGATGAAACTCTGGCTTAATAACACAAATATACGTGAAAATAAAGTTTTTTTAAAAATCCTACAGTCCTAGAAGATTTTATCTTAAACAGCAAAGTTTCACTAATCATAGTTTAGGACTGGATACAGTTATTATTAGTCTCATGTTGTTGCAATTAGTTAGCAATAAAAGTTTACCAGGATTTCCCCCCTCCCCAATTCACTTGACATTTTTTTCCTCTTTCACTTCTTGCTCCCACACAGTAAGTAATCAGTATTCTTTCCTTTTTAAAACGTGCAATTAAATACTTGATAGGTTTTAATATTATGACAATAGCCTCTAACAACCTGATTAGTAATTTCACAGTATCCAAATCAAAAAGAATTAAATTCTCCAATGACATAATTTTATCATCTGCTTAACATGTCTCATATAAGTTTCCCAGAATTTACTGTATGAGAAAGTTTAGAAACAGTTAACATTCACAATATCATGTATTAAAACATGAAACAAAACTTATAACTACTCAGATTATATCAATTCATTTGAATGCATTTCCAAATTATCTTTTTAAATTATTTTTAGTTTTCAACATTCACTTCCACAAGATTTTGGGTTCCAAATTTTCTCCATATCTTTCCTCTCCCCCCCACCCCAAGATGGCATGGATTCTGAATACCTCCTCCCCCAATCTGCCCTCCCTTCTATCATCTCCCCCTTCTCTTATCCTCTTTCCATTCTGTTTTCCTATAGGGCAGGATAGATTTCTATACCCCATTCCCTGTATATCTTATTTCCCAGTTGCATGTAAAAACAATTTTTAACATTCTTTTTTAAAACTTAAAGTTCCAAATTCTCTCCCTTCCTCCCCACCCATCCTCATCAAGAAGGCAATTTGATATGGGTTACACATGTGTAGTCATGCAAAACACATGTTGTGAAATACTAACTATAATTCCCTCCATCCTATCCTGCTCTCCTGTTTATTCTAGTCTCTTCTTTGACCCTGTCCCTCCTCAAAAGTGTTTGCTTCTGATTGCCTCCTTCCCCAATCTGCCCTCCCTTCTATCATCCCTCCCTGCCCCGCCCCTGTCCTCTTTCCTCCTATTTTTCTTGTAGGGTAAGATAGATTTGCATACCCAATTGAGTTTGTGTTATTCCCTCCTTAAGCCAAATCTGATGAAAATAAGATTCATTCATTCCCTCTCACCTCCCCCCTCTTCCCCTCCACTGTTAAAGCTTTTTCTTGCCTCTTTTATGTGAGATAAATTTACCCCATTCTACCTCTCCCTTTCCCCTCCTCCTAGTACAATTCTCTCTCACCCCTTAATTTTATTTTTTACATATCATCCCTTCATGTTCAACTCACCCTCTGTCCTGTATCTATAAATATATAT